AACCCGGGAGGCAGAGCTTGCAGTGAGCTGAGATCCGGCCACTGCACTCCAGCCTGGGCAACAGAGCAAGACTCTGTCTCAAAAAAAATAAAATTAAATAAAATTAAAAATTAAAAAAAATAAATGAATAAAAATTAAAAAAAAAAAAAGATAAGAGAGAGAGCAAGTGAGACTGAGAGATGAAATGAAGAGACACAGAGAGACCCTCCCAGAGACAATGCCAGTCCCAGGCTCTGTATAGTCCCTCCACCATCTCCCCAGGTCTGGGCCCTGTGCCAGGCACTTGGAGGAAGGCTGGATCTGGCCAAGCAGGGGCAGGCAGGAGGGTGGACCACATTCCTGAACAGTCTGTTTCAAATACAGCCCCAACCTCACCACTCCCACCACCCTAGCCCTGGCCCATCCAGGCCTGAGTCTGCCCCCTCTAGCCTGTGCCCTAGGATGGGGGGTTGTAGGGGGGATAGATGAGAGAATGAGGGATAAGTTTGTCTGCCGTCATGGCCTGGCCTCAGACAGGGACTTGGGGGACTGGATACCAGGGGGTTCAGCAGCATGGGCACAGAACATTTGGGAGCATCTGGGAGCCAGTGCCTTGGGAACAGAGATGGTAGATTCAGGGCAGGACATAATATGGAGGTACAAGGGGGTCAACATGCAGAAAGACACCCTGAAGAAATAAGGAGAGGCACAGAAGTGCCAGGCTGATGGACACCCAGAAACCAGGGAAATTGAAGGTGGATCTGGGGAACAAGCGTAGCACACAGGGTCCCAAGAACAATGGAAGTGACAAGGGCTCAGGTGTGAGCTCCTAGGAATCACAGGCACAGAGCACAGGAGTGTCAGGGGTGTCTTTAGAAGTGTATTTGAGCCAGGCGCAGTGGCTCATGCTTGTAATTCCGGCACTTTGGGAAGCTGAGGCAGGCAGATCACCTGAGGTCAGGAGTTCCAGATCTGCCTGGCCAACATGGTGAAACTCCATCTTTACTAAAAATACAAAAATTAGCCGGGCCTGGTGGTGCATGCCTGCAATCCCAGCTACTCGGGGGGCTGAGGCAGGAGAATCTTGAACCTGGGAGGCAGACGTTGCAGTGAGCCGAGATCGCACCACTGCACTCCAGCCTGGGTGACGAGAGCTAAACTCTGTCTGAAAAAAAAAGAAGGAGAAGAAGAAGTGTATTTGAGAATCAGTGTGTATTTAGGAATCAGAGGTACAGGGTACAGCATTCAGGGGGCCCAGAGGTGGCCCGGAGATTGAGGAATACACACCTGCAGGCCAAGTAAATTGGACTCAAAGGTGCTAGGGACTCAGGAGGCTGCACCTGTTGGCCAGGTGTGTTGACATGAAAATGCTGGTGCACGAAAGTTGCTAAGTAGGGCAGGCTGAGGCAGGCACACAATGTACCCTAGAACATAAAGTATAAAAAAAAAAAAAGAGAGAGAAAGAAGAAAAGAAAGAGAAAGAAAAAGAAAGAAAGAAAAGAGAAAGAAAAGAAAGAAAGAGAGAGAAAGAAAAGAAAGAAAGAGAAAGAAAAGAAAGAAAGAAGGAGAGAAAGAAAGAGAAAAAGAAAGAAAAGCAAGCTGCAAGCCAGGGCACAGTTCCACTAGGGCTGGGGGCAGGGTGGAGACGTCGGGTTGGGGAATCCACGGAAGGAGCAACCGGGAGACACCCACTCCTCCCACATCGGGTCTCCGCCCCTGCTCCACCCCTAAGACCCCTTGGAAATCAAATAGAGGTCAAGGGGTGCAGGCGTGGAGAATTGTAGCCATGATGATAGCCGGTATCGCAGCGCTGCTGTTGTGGCTTCTGGTACTGGCGCTGCCATGGTAGGGGTAGGGTGGGTGCCGAGCTCGGATGCGGGGGTCCCTACTTCCCCGGCCCAGGCCACACCCATTGCTGGGGAACTTGCAGCTGCAGTCCGGAGGCACGGACCACGCGCTCCATTCCCTACAGGAATGGGGGAACGGAATTTTGGATCCGTGGAGGTGGCGCTGGGGACTAGAACTCCTCCTGAATGAAGACAGCTAAGGGCTTGTACTCTAAGACCCTGAGGAAGGACAGGAAGGATGAGTGCTCAGGACTCCTGAGTTCTAGGAAAGGAGACTAGGGAGTGGAGAGCTTGGGGTCGGGACACTGGGTAGTAAGGAAGGAGCCCAGAGCAGGAAATCAGGTTGTGGAAAGAGGGGAGCAGAGGGTCTGTTCTCCTGGTTCAAGGTGGGGAGGCTGAGTACTGAGGGCGTAGGAGCCCGACTCTGAGGGTGCAGGAGGCTGGGAAGTTGGACTTCTAGGTCCCAAGGGAAGAAGGAAGTGGGGGCCTGGACTCCTGGATCTCAGGGAGGAAGGAGCTGGGGATCTGAGCTCCTGGGCCTGAGGAATGAGGGCCCGAGACGAGGACTCCTGGGTCTGAAGGAAGAGAGAGTTGGGGGCGAGGGCTCCGATGAGAAACCCGATGGGCACCAGCTGAGCACCGGCTCCCTGTAGCTCTCCGGCCGCTGGGGCCCGGTGTTCACAGTGCAGCTGGGCCCGCGCCCTGCCGTGGTGCTGTGCGGCTACGCAGCGCTGCGGGACGCGTTAGTGCTACAGGCGGATGCCTTCTCCGGCCGCGGGTCCATGGCAGTCTTCGAACGCTTCACACGCGGACACGGTGAGGCCCGGGCGCTGGCCGTGCCGGCCTGCACGCCTCAGGCTGGGCCCGTAAACGGTAGAGGCGGGCAAATGGGGGCGGGGCCTAATAGAGACTCCAGCTAATGAGGTGCAAACGGCCGAGAGAGGGCGCGGCGGCGCTAAAGCGTAAGGTTCGAATCGAGGTTCATCCTGCAGCCAAGAGGAGAGAAGAGCCTAAGAGTCAAAGCCCGAGAGCCAGCCTAGGTCAGCAATCGAGCCCAGCAAACGCGGGGCCAATGTGTGGATAGGGCACTTAGAGGTCCGGTAAAGAAGCAAAGCGCAGGAAGTCGGCCGCAGGAGTCGGAGGCCC